TTAGGTAACACTTCGCCTCATTGCACTTGTAGTTCAAAAAATGTAGCTTGTCAATGAATTGTTTCTCAAAATTAGAGTATGAGCTGGTAATGTTTTACATTTTAAATAAATAGTGAGTACTGAAATGGTGACAAGTTAATAAAGGTCACTGGAGAGTTTTATATCTAGGACTCTATAGGGAGGGAAAAAGACTTCTCTATCAGTTCCTTTGTGTATATTTGTAAAACCTGATATCTCATTAATGTTCTATTGACATAATAATACAGGGTCTCTTATAGATCCAACTACTAGCATTTGGTATTCAATTCTGTCTTCTATACCTCCCTTCATGAGACTCTTAACAAAAGCACAAAAGCTCTCAACAAAATTCAAATGTTTGGTAATTGTATATTTTTAAAGCAGGTTAATTGATTTGTCCTCATTGCATCTTCTAAACAATTTGTCTCTGAAATTGTACCAGTGATCAACAATGCAAGTAACATAGCAATGAGAGAGGCTTGTCTAGATCTTATTGCCCCCCCCCCCCCCAACACACACAGATTAGACACTGATCGTCTGAAGATATATACCCTAATATCCCTTAAATTACCCTAAAATCAAACCAGAGCCTATCCTGGAAGCTTAGATTGCAAAGTCAAGACTGCACCTGGATGTGATGCCAGTCCACTGTAGGTCACACACACATGTTTACACTCACACATGCACAGGGATGATGTACAAAAACCAATGATCCTTGTTAGCATGTCTTTGGAAGGTGAGTGAAGAAACCGGGGAATCCACAAGCCTGGCAATCCAATATATTTAGAATATCAGTCACGTGTTGTTAAGATCAATCCCCCAGCCTTCTGGTTGTGCTATCCAGGGAATAGTTATTATGGCTAAATGCACACTAGCACTCAGCCACATTTGCTTAGCTCCAGAACATCATATATTAGCACTCAGAAGCCAGTTTTGTCAATAACAGCTTTTTTAGCTGCACTCATCAGAACTCATGTGAATGTAATCATGAGCTAGTACATTTCTGAAGGAATAGTGCTCCTGGAAACCTACAGAATCAGTGGTGAGTTTTCTATTATTATTTTGTGAACTTGACCTTAATCATGAATAAGTTTTCTTATTTCTGAATGAATTGTTCATTTAAGATATCATTTAATATATTTATATTTAAGATATCCTATTCTGCAGTATATGTTGTCAATCAGACATTCTCAGGATTATCAGGATATGTTTTGTTGTGTCTGCAGGTTGTGTATAATGCAATAAAATAGAAATATGCATGCAGTTTCTACACTAAAACTAGTAATAATATGATGTCTTGCCCTAGTAGCACGAGTTCACTCTGGAAATTGTATTAAATTCTCAACCGTTTGCCTGCAACAGAACAGTTGAACAAGGGGAGTATATTGCATACCTTTGCTATCATCTTTTAAAACTAAAGCCTTTTGTTTTTTGTATCACCAATTGTGTTTCATGATGTAGGGGATTTCTTCTATGCTGACCCTTTAAAGGAAATTGAAAATAAATGATCAGGGCATCAGGTTTCCAGTACTTTTTCGTTCATTGTGGACCAAAGAGCGATCACTCCTCTACTGTTTTTTATGCCAGCTCCTGTCTTGATCTTTCACTGCAGCAGAAAAGTACAGACTGGTCCTATATTCCTAAAAATATCATTTTTTATTATGACTCCTATGTATGTCCTTCCTGTGAATGAGTGGATTCTCTCGTTCCTCAACATGAATCATTTGGAGATCTTCACTGCACAAATCTGTGGCTCTAGCAAAGTACCTGTTCATGCCTGGAGTGCTGTAGCTGAATGTGTAAAATCCATATTTCAAGTCAGAGTGCTTATGTCACTTCTGAATGACAAAAATGTTTGAAACTTTTGAATTGCAATTTAGTTCTGTCTCCTCTATTTTTTATCTTGGAATATGAAGGATGTGGGAGTTGTGAAGGTTTGGAGAGCAACTGGACATGGTGGAAATTTATTTTCATATTTCCTGTATTATCAAAAAATATTTCATTTAACACTCACAAATACTTAATATTTTAGCTCAAATAACATATTATTGACACCTGATAGAATTATCGGATATCCCTGACATACAGAGATAAATTTGAAAACATTTTACAAAGAACAAAGTATGTAAATTGTAAATGTACACTATAACAATTTCAGGTTTAATATAATGTTAATCCATTATATACTGTATATGTAGTGGCCACGGGGTATACATAGGGAAAAATAGGACCAGCACCAGCTTTGGAGTAACACATGCCCTTTTTACTCCCGGAATTTTGTCCAATTCAATTTTTAAGAACTTTATTTTCTTTTCACAAATAAATACAGATAATCACAAAATAGAAAGCTTTACATTAATACAGTATATATACTTATAACAGTATATATGATCACATCTCATTAAGTTTAGACAAGGTAACAGTTACATACCAACAATTCATCTTGTTCAGGTGCATTTTTTAAAGTCATTTTTCATCACTTCCAAAACAGGACAAATCCCATTTTTTACCTTTACATGATAATCTATATCACAGAGTCTTGAGGTCACAACTTGAGGTCACAACAAGGCAGCAGCAACCATATTAACATGCTGTCAGCAATAGGAACCGGTACACATGTTTAGGGTGGACATAACTCTCGGGAAAAACAGGGCCAACAGCAACAATACGCTATTTACATATTTTCCTACACAACTATTTACATGCCCATGGTCAGCTAGCAGTCAGCTACAGTAGCTGACTCTCAGTCCATCCCCCAGTGATGATTCCCACCACACTGTGACGCATTCATTATCCGCGTGTGCTTATGCTAAGGCACCCAGCGAGGGCGCTACAATATATATCAAAACTAGATGACATGTAGCTTAGTTTAACAGTTTAATGGAAACCTTTAAATTAACAGTAAGCTCAAAATGTTTTGGAGTAACATATTCATGCTACTTTTTTACCAATAAAAATTGCTGCTGCTGCTGCATTTTGTGCTTTCTGTAGACTATAGAGTCCAGTGGGAGCAAGAAATTGTTTTCATCCAAAATTGCTTTACGTGTATTAGGGGAACCTGCTTCATCTACCATTAAATTTCCCTACGGGATTAATAAAGTAATATCTATCTATCTAAAGAGCAGCATGTACTATATGTGCCAGCCTCCCCACTACACAGCAGATCAGTTAGTTCGTTGAAGTAGGGGGAAGATTTTGGTAGGCCAGATTGTACAAACCCAAAGTGGACATTAGCCAGAGCATTAGAAATTAGCCAGAACACTAATGTCCTATAACAATAGCGTAATAACCAATTAATCAATACGCCTGTTTAATGTCAAACTCAAAGAACAACATTTCCTACAGTGCAGTGTCATCAGTCACTGTACTGGGACATTGGAAATTCTTGTCTAGAGGAAAGGATTTTCACTTTAAAATACTGAATGGAAGTGTTTATTTTCTTCTTGATAGATGTAAGATTTCCTTTTTGTCCCCACCTGACCCGACACTACTCACAGTGTTAACATGAGATTATTTTTTGCTTCCTTTCTCAGCTGTCTGTTTTTTCTGAATGTGCCGAATCCTGAAGGTGTAGTCCTGATTCAGGAGAGAACAGGGACGTGGCTTGACCGCGGAGGTCTTGAAACAGTAGTTGAAGATGCAGAGAAAGAAGAGATGTTTAATACCCACTGGAGCTCTGTTCATGCTGTTCTTGAGTCGCATAACTGCAGCATTGGATGTACCTCTTGATCGTAAGTAAAAATATATATTTACAGTATGTATAAATGAGTTTATTTTTAGTAAGAGTCTGATATGATATAATATATATTTGGATGTTTTTTTTCAATAGGCACCTGTAATGGTCCACTTGTATAAAAATCAATACAAATACAATATAAAGTAATTTCAATTGAGGCTTTGTGAATGTCACAGTCATGTCTATCAGAATTATAAATATTTAGAAGGAAGAGCTGGATTACTGATGTTTTGTGTTACTAAATTATTTATATGAAACACCTAGAACAGGATATGAGATGTGAAATACGTGTATATGTACAGTAGTTGGATACAGCATGATATATAGTACAGCACAACAGGACTGTCAGATATTAAACCTCCCCAGAAGACTATACCCTCTACAAGCTGGCAAAACTTTATTAAAACACCCAGTGGGTGAAACGTTTCTAGCAAAATGCAATTGAACATTACAATTAAACAGAATTAGCTTTCTTCTGAATAAGAGTGTTAGTTTTTTCTGCGAGTACAAAATAAAAACAATGTAATTTTTAAATTGAATTTTACATGAAGAACCTGAAGCTTTTGTGTTTTTGGTTGATGTTTGATTTTTCTTTTCTTTAATTGTAGACCCATCATAAATAATTAACTGTGATTCAGGTTTGTGATACAAAGAGAGCAGATTGCACAGATTGTAAAAAATAATGTGATACTGTCTGTGAAATTGTCTGTGAAAGCAATGCAGATAAAATACAGAGACTGCATAGTTTTTTTTCTTAATTCTGACCTGTTTCTGAAATCCTCTCAAGATTGTTCTGCCTCTGTTACTAATTAACAAAAACAAAACTAGATATTGTTTCCCAGGTCATGCACAGCAGCTTACTCACAGTACAACAGTCTTAAAAAAATACCAATTTTAGCACTTCAGTTAATGGGAAGTGTTTCATTTTTCTTGTTTAAATAAATTATGACCTTATAATGTTCCAATCTGACACACTCACTACTTGCACTTTGAAGAACTGTGAGGTTTTACCTTTTCTGTGTTATCCACTGAAAGACAATACATATTGTACCTTTCATTGATGACACTGCGAGCTCACTGGTGGCTGTTGAGTCTCAGGGGTAACTGGTCAGTGGCAGGCTGGTTGGTCATCTCAAGGTAAACTAAAGTTGGTAGCACTTAGCCAGTTGTGTGCAGCCATTTGGGGAATCCTCGTCACAGGTCTCTAATGAGATCCCTTGGACTTGACCTAGAGATTCTCAGTTTACTCAAAAAAGTGAAGATTGCATAGTGTAAGCATTCATTGGTAAGGGTCTATATATTTAAGGTGCTGCCCATATTTAAGGTATAAACTAGTAACAGAATTAGTTATTATTAATTAATTAGTTAATGGATATACATTTAAATTAAATGCAATACATATGGTTCTGAATTATGGAATTGAAAAGGTGTATATACAGTATGTACTTAAATTAGATACACTTAATATGAATAGTCTGTATATATATACTTTTCAAAAGCTGTTCTTTGGAAATGAAATAACTATATGTACTTATATATGCCTTAGATCTTTACTATACATAAATATAGTACCAGTAAGATTTCTTAATATTAAAAGACAGATGTCAGAGACTGTGTCAGGTTTAACATGACATTATTTTGGGTAATGTTGTGTTTTTCTGTTTACATTGAATTACATTATCAGAAATAGCAGTCATGCATGTGGCAGTAGCATTTAAAGATGTATTGTTCTGCTTAAGTCTGATATACAAATCATATATTAAAAACCTCTTTAATTATTAGTTGGTTCTTGTCAGAATGACCTATTCCAGTGACAAATGCAGCCTTCAGACATTGTATTATTGCACATCTGACTACCATGTTTGTTAATTCTGGCTTTCAAGGTACAGTAGTTTTGATACAATAATATTATACGATAACATGCCAGGGCACAGCATTGTGCATATCAGAGGAAATATCAAAGTGTGAGAATGTTATTTATTCATTGTTCTAAAAAGAAGTAAGTGATTGTATAGTAAAATGGTGATAATTACTATGTTTGCACACCACACATATTTGAACTGTATTGCATTCTGTAGAAATTGGAGAATATGTTTTACATTCTTTGTTTGCATTTATATAGAATAATTTTCTTCCATTTACAGTGGAATTTAAACTTTACATTACATGCATTTAGACTGTATTGCAAATGGAATAGTCATATTCCACTATTAACCTCACATGTCTTACTGGCATAATTGCATGATGACAACTGTAAAGCTTGTAGCAGGAATACTGAATATTTCACATAAAAAAAAAATATTCCACTATAAATCTTTTGTATTTAATGGTGATTGTAATTACATTTCGGTAGGAATAACAGCAACCAAGATCTCACTCACCTCTGCTACATAGTCACCCACAAGATTACTTTGTGAATAACCTATAAATACCATAGTCATTGTCTCTCTCTCTGGCTCAAATTAATCTTTCTGCATACCTCTTCTACCCCCTATCCACTTTGGCTACCTCTTTGCTCTGTATGGGAGTGCAAACTGTACATTAATCCTATTTCCAAAATATTCCCCATTCTTCCTT